TGACGGGTTTTAGAGTTTGAAATTCATCTATGTTTCTTGCAAGTAAAATCACAAGTTTGACTTACTTTAACTAAATATGTTCTCATTGTCCTTTAGATCAGTGGTCCTCAACCGGTGGTACGCAAGAGAAAAATAGGTGGTATGCAAAGAAACAAAGTATTTTTAACTATTAAATTAAAAAATCTCGTGAAGAAAAATAACAATTGATGGAAATTTCCTGTGATAGAACTCTAACTGAAGATTTTACAAATAATACACTTGTTAACTTTTGGCTAAACCCAAAAACGTAATTTAAAAGAGTTTCAAATAAAGCTGTTAAATTTTTATTGCCTTTTTGCACAACCTATTTGTGTGTATTTGCACAACCTATTTGAAAGTATTTTCTTCCAAGTTTCATTTGAAAAATAAATTCAGAACAAAATTAAGATTGGATCTTAATTTACGGTTAATTAAAATAAGCAGACATAAAGAAATTCATCTCCCTTAAAATGGCCCAAATTTCCCACTAAATTTTAGAATTAAAGTATTATAACTTTAATTTTGATAATTAAAATGGTAACCAATTTTTAATCTAATACGTTTTATGTGTGCACATTTAATATAGCCAATAAGTTGCGCAAATGGCAAAATATATTTTTTTAATATTTCTATTAACACATTGAAAAATAACAATTGTAATATGTTGGGGTGGTACTAAAGTTTTTCAATTTTTGTTTAGATGGTACGCGTTAGTCAACAGGTTGAGAACCGCTGCTCTAGACGATTGACTGAGACGGAAAACTAATTTCAGGCTTAAGGCTTACCATTTTATCATAGAGAAAAGTACTAGATCCCACATATGAAAAACGCAAGATGTATATATATATCTTTGTACTTTTAAACAGGAATACTTCTGACTTATTGTGAATAATTTGGTCCAAATCTCTCTCTTCAGCTTTGATTTTTGTCGCCTCAGTAATGAGGATTAAAGGCTAACTGAGATTGACTATAATTATGAAAGTTTGGCCTTGAATGTTGTCTTTCAGCTCGGGAGTGAGGTTGTACGTTCTTAGCAGCGCCAGTGTTCACAATAATAACTGCTTAATTGTCGAAGGATTTGTTCAAATTCCCAGCAAACGCCTAACAATCGTTAAAAAAACTGGCACTAGAAAATTTTAAAAGCTTTCCAATTTTTTTAGACTTCAAAGTAGGATATACTAACATATTATTTATTATTCATGAGGCCTTCAATTACTGCCATTCCAACAGATATGAGCTCTTTAATTTAAATTCCATGAGACTTGAAAAATAATTAATCTGGAAGTGTTGCTATTCGACATGGTATAAAACCTTTAACTAACCTTTTAATTTACATCTACAGTTGCTTAACAAATTGAAAGACTTAAAAACAATAAACGGTCTTCTTAATAACTTACACATTTATTTGATTTTTAATAACAGATCTAATGGATATAATGTGCAATGCATTTAATTGACATATTTTGTAACTTTTGACTTTTACTTTTTGCAGTTATTTTTGAAATTATTTTAATTACTAAATATATTTCTTCCTTCATATTTTACATATCTCTGTACAGAATTGGATTTAGCTTTGCAATTTTAATTTTAATGCTGACTAGCTCAGCAGCTAACAGCTTCTAAAAGAAGTCTTCTATCTTAAGTGGAAAAATGCTGGTGAAGATGTAAATTTTGATAAGTTATTTATGACTGATACCAAGACCGTTATTCATATTTAAGTTACTAAGCCAAAATATTAAAAAATGTTAACATCCGGTACATGTAACTTTACTACGGTGACGTAAATGACGAACGTAATTTACGTGAATGACCTGTTTTACGTAAATGACGAAATATTCAATTTACATGTTTCTACAACTTACGAGTCTGAAATCGAGCCGAAGTAAACTATGAGTTACTTAAAACTGACCATCGCAGTAAAAGAAGCTTAAAAGACATTTGGAAACTGTTTCATGCTTAAAAATGGATGGGATGGGAAATCTTCTTTGAATTAATACTTTTCAGTGAGGCAATAATGAAGTGACAAGGGACTTCTGAGCAGACATAGAGTGCAAGCAATAAATGACGAATGTTTGTATAACCTGCTTCTTCCGAACATTCGTTTAATCCAAACAAATCTCGCTTCTCCATTAGTTCGGATTAGTGAGGATCTACGGTAAAAGGAAATGTACTTCCGTAAAGAGAATCATCCACAACTTCATGTCCACTTATATGTATTTGTTAGATTATGCTCACATATACTGCATATGTTCTTATTTTATCATAGTTTTAGTGAAACAGTGAATTCTGATATTATGCAGCATTTGCTTCTGTTGGGTTTGAAAGGGGGGAAAGGAATAAATAGTCCCAATTTAATTTAACGTAATGATCTAACATAAGGATCTAACATAATTATTCAAATAATATTATTCAGTTACATAAACGCACAAAAGTAATAAAGAATTTAAAATTTAAGTCACTACTAGTTTAAGCATAAATTAAATATTATGCAAAAAAATCAAGAAATTTTTAATTATATGAGCAATATTTTCAAATTTAAACCAAATTCAATAGTTCTGTGTGCTGCTTTCGAAAGGTTGCCGGTGAAGTTTTTATTTAGGCATAACGTTATGCATGGAAGCAAATAGCAGAGAGAAACAAATAATTAAAATGTCATAGTAGAGAAAGTCAAATTTTTTATCAACGAATTTGAATCTCTGCTAAATGAAAATAATATTCCCCTGAAACTTTATGCTTACTTAATATGAATATCATCATAAATTTAAAAAACATCGACTTCAAATAGCAAAATAATCGCAGTGATGAAGAAGCATGACTAAGCATCTTTTCAGTTGTTGAAATTAAGCTGTGATAGTTTCATGGTATTGACCTCTTTAGCGATTATTATTCTTTACATGCAATTTAGTGGCTTTCTTAGACAGGGAGAAATGTAAAAAGGGAATTTTAAAAAGCCCTTTTATCCAATTTTCAAAATTGCTTAAATAAATTGTTAAAAAACAGGTTTTCAAAATTCATTCTAGCTTAAGAAGTAACAATAAAAGAATTATAATAAAATAATTTTTAATTATCAAAAGATACTTCATTAATATTTTATGATGATCATTTAACTAGTGATTATAAATAACAAAAATTATTTGATTTTATTTGTCTATAAAAATGTTAGTTTTGATTAATTTAACTCTAAGCTATTTTTAAGAACTTTAAAATCATGTAAACTAAAGCATTCAAATTTTCATTTTCAAATAATAGTTAAAATAATTAATTAATTGTTTTAAGATATTATTTTACATACATTATTCGTTAAAAAGTTAAGAAATAACATAACATTCATTATAGCCCATTTCGTAGGTCGTGAGCAAATATTCTTACTTTTCAAACCTGACTGCAATTGGCTCCGACATAGAATGTATACTCAACGTCTACAAATTTAATTACCATACCAGATTTCTGAAGGCATTTAATAGAATTCTATTCACATTTATATTTGCAAATTACATATAACCACAATAACATAAAATTTCACTTATCTGAAGAACAAAAATAAGCCCAGCGTAAATTTTCTAAACTTGAAACAACTTTTGTAATTTAAATACCGCAAACTTAAACATAGGAGTCCTCAACTTCGAAAACGCAGCAAATTGATAAATATCCCTAATTTTCGCAGCAGATTTCATTTCCTCCAAACCAAAACTCCGTTTCGTAACGCAATAGCATCGCAAGAAGCAATGACTTCATTCCAAAAACAAAAATGTCCGTTGATCTCATCCGCTGTTGCCACTCAAGCGATGCACAATTTTTCTACTGCAGTTGTTGCCAGACTTATTCTCGATGTATGTGAGAGGCACAACACCATTACAGCCAGCGTTATTTAATATCGAATGTAAATCGCAAACAGATATTATCAATATAACAACGACCACGTCTAGGGAATTCTAAAACAAAAGAAAGTAGAAACAATGCGAATGAAAAGGAAAACATAAATTTATATATAAACACAACACACCTACGAAAAATGTTTTAGTTCTTCCTGAAGTTCAATAGCAAAACAACAAACCGTTTTATTACTTTAAATATATGGAAAATATAGTAGAAAATCTCGACACCCATATGGCATGCCATGGGAGTCGAGAACGATACGTAACTTCTGCTTTTATAGAACTGCAAGATATAAAATGTTTCAGAGAAAACGGAAATCAACAAACAATGGTTTGTAAATAGGGAAAATGCGAAATCGAGGTTAATAAATTTGAGTAATACCTTATAGCTTGAAAATATAAGCTTGACAGCTTGAAACTGAAATTCTGAAGATTCAAATCGAAATTAGACCATGATCTCGAAGAACTAGCATCCAAAGAAAAATAATTTAATACCACTAGAAAATCTCCCTTCATGGACAAGCAAGTCCACAGGAGAATCTCTGCTCTTGCATGATTATAGATTATTTTGGGTACTTTCTGTTATGAACCTTTGCCAACTTCAGGCGATTAAAAACGATTAGAAATAATCCAAGAAAAAGGGATGAAAGCATTATAGATGCGCCTTAGAAAATGAAAGTCACTAATCATACTTTATCTTTGTTGGCGCATTTTACGGCAACGAATCTCGCCAATTCATCGCCTCCTACGAATGATGCAGGTAGAGTCGAACAAAAATCTAACTGACCTGACGTGGGCAATTCTAATGCGGAGCTCACAATTAAATTGTATTTTGCTTCAATGTAAATATTTGTACATGATTTTTATCTTAATACAATAATTAAAAAGAAGCAGTGAGGCTGGTCCGTCGATAAAAATAATCTTAAAGAGAATTAATTTAATCAATTTTGATACTCATAAATACTTTATTGGCACTGCTTTTGTTATAAGATAATTACTTAACAAATAGGCGATAATATGAAGTGAGGATTTAAATACACTGGTGGACAAAATTAATGGATGGAATACTTTTCTCAAATATCTCGAGAAATACTGAATAGAAATAAATGAAATTAGGTACGGATATAGCTTGATGTATGTCATTCTTGCGCATAGGCCATGCTAATCTTCTCTGTATCGTTCCAATTTTAGTATATGTACTGCCGCAGCAAGTACTGACAATAGGGTGTTTTGTTTTGTTTTGTTAGGGCGCAGCCCGGTCCACCTTGCAAAACAAAGTTTGCCATATGACCCTATACGGGCTACGGCAGTTGACAATAATGTGTACAAAACAACAATGAAAATGCCATTCATTAGCATGAATTATACCCAAGCGTCTAATGTGGCCCAAACTTGAAGCTGTTAGATGGCGGTGAAAATGTTGCTAATATGATGTGGGGTCGCCTCGACAGACAGCTTGCGCAACGATTAGCCATGCTGTTAAAAGAGATTTCAGGACTGCTTGTGGAAGTCGCTCCCACTCCTCCACCAGAGGAGGTTTTAGCTATCGAATGGTTCTGTGCGGGGGTTGATGTATTGCAATAATCCTCTCAACAGTCTCCCAGGCATGTTCAACAAGATTAAGATCAGGAGATTTGGCTGGCCAATCCATTCAGAGAATGTGCTCGTTCTTCAAATAGGTGGCCATATGGGTGGCCTTATGTGGTCGCGCATTTTCATCCATAAAAATGAACTCAGGTCCGACAACCCCCCTGAAAAGTCGCCCCTAAGGCTGTAGGACCTCCTGCCTGTGCCTCTGGACATTTACGGAACCAGTGTCACACACATGGAGCGGTGTGCGTACATCTTGCACGATCCCTGCCGAGACCATCACTCCTCTACCACCATACTGGTCTCTTTCCATGATGTTACTGCGATGGTATCGGCTCTCAGGTTCTCCCCATATCAATAATCGCCGAGAATCAAGCTGTAGACTGAATCTAGACTCATCCGTCATGAAAACATTAGCTCATTGAAACTGTGCCCAGTGTATGTGTAGTATTCACCATTGTAAAGAAATTTTTGTGGAAGGAAGTGAGGGGGATGCGAATAGCGGGATTTCTAGGCATAGAGTTCTGTGTCGTGGAGCCTTCTGGAAATTGTCTTCCTTGAAATTGATATTCCTGTGGCAGTAGCGAGGTCACAAGACAGTTGAGGCTGTAGATGACACTTGGCTGGAAGTACAAAATACGGGCCCTCATTAGTCGTTGTGGCTTTCGGGTGACCTTGATCTTCCGGACACTGTCCTGCTATTTTTAAACTGATTCCACAAATTAAAGATGACAGTTGGTGTTACATTCAATTATGTTGCAACCTGAGCTTAGGACTACCCTGCCTCAAGCGTACCCATTTTTTTGTATCTCATACACTTGTCTAAGCGATGATGTGTACACATTTCACCGAAACAACAACAAAACAAACCACACGATTATTCAAGAAAGACAATAAATATCACTACTGTGTTACAGAGCGGAATGAGATGAGCAGCTGGACGGCGACTTTTATTCCTCCTTCTGGCTTAGAGTCGCGCACAGAAGTACGTAAACGTATCTCAGCTACACCAGCTCCACAGTCATATTATATGGCAAACAACCGTCCAGGTTTTGAGTGGTATTTTAGGAAAAATGTGACAAAATGTTTTCCATTTCTTAATTTTGTCCACCAGTGTATATAAGTCATTTATAATTTCCTAACATACTGAATTCATTAAAAAATATAATAATGCAAAATATTTTCTTGCTTCAAAGGAAACTTCAGATATCGTTTTATAGAACATAGATAATCAAGTGTGTTTTGTAAAAAAAAAAAAAAAAGTCGATTTTATTTGAATGCGAATAGCAATGCAAGAAAAATTAAATTAAAAGAAAATCTTGAATACTGATGCAGTACTTATTATAGTAATTATAATACTAAATGTTTCTGCTATTTCAGCGTTATTTGTCTGTTTATCAAAAAGGAACATTTTAATGTTTCCATTTAAAAATTGTAATTTATTACATGTATAAATTTCATGAAATCATAATGTTGTAATTAGAAAATATTATAACAGATGTGATTTTGTTAAGAGTTACTAATGATGACCTTTTCAAAGAGGTAAAATTTCGTATATATACCTGTATACGGAAACAGTTAATTTGTATATATATATGTGTATAGCAGCTTACGTTTACCTCTTCGCCTCAGGTGAAAAGATATCTAGGCATGGCAATCTAGGCAAAGATATCTAAGCTAAGTTATTACATTATATTTTACTGTTATTAGTTATGCTACTTTTTCCAACTTCTAAGTTAAATTTACGTATGTGTAATCTTGTTCTATATTTCCTAAAATAAGAGTTTCAAATTATTATACTTTTATACTTCTATATGCTTTAAAAAGTGTACATTTAGAATATATTCAATGAAAAGTATTTTTTGCTAGTTTAATGATACAAGAATAAAAACTAGTTTGTAAACAAAGCTTCCAATTTTCTGCATGGAGAATAACATATTTTGCGTAGTTTTTTGAAAAGAACATCTTTTCTCGTCATCTAAGTTTTCCTCGGCTTTTAACATTTTATAAACAAGAAGGGTAAACTTACAAAAAATTTCCTCTCTCTAAAGAAATTGTTCTGGCACTCCTTTATATCGAATAAAATGAAATGCAGGAATATTTACTTAAAGAGTTCTTTTTGTCACCTTACATACTAAGCATGCTGAGTTTTGAAATCTTTATCAAATTAGAACAAAAATTCGAATATTTGAACCATCACACAATTTTCTGCTATAATGCTCACCGTTATAAGACAGAAAAATTACTATTCCAATCCCATAAGTAGGTTTATTATAATATTGGTACATTTTGATGAATTCTTGGCATCTGATTCAGTATTAGGTTTTTAATGAATTAGTTTAGTACTGTGCAGGGAATAGCATTAAGGATTATCGAGAAAATCGAGGAAAATTTTTATTCTCAACGATTCCAATTCCGTCAGATAATCGCGTTTTCCCAAATCAGTATTTTTTCTCATATCTTGAAATTCATCTGCAGACGTATGATTCTGATGCTTGGGCACATTTGGGATTTCATGCTTCAGTTGTGCCTTGCCATTATAGGAACCGTATTCATTTGATGGCTGAGTAATTACTTAAGAAAGAAAACTTTCATCTCCTGGTTGGCTGGAAGATAATTTAGTCTTAGAAAAGATATAAGACTAAGAATTCTATTATATATTATAAAAGTATATAGTAATATAGTTCCTGTCGCTAAACACATATCATTAATCACCGTTTTAAGCAAAGCTTTTAAATACACTACTAGAAGCAATGTTGACGAAATGAAACTTAGGAAATTGTTAATATTAAGCATATTAATACCGTCTATGCATTTATTTAGCATCATAGATATATTTACTTAATATTATGAGATGCATTTAACAAATTTATCTCTACTTTGGGGCATTTTAACAAATGCTACCCCTTTTGCTGAAGGTATAAAAAATAAAAAGGACACCTAAATTTGTGAGAAACTTGTTAGCTTGTTTATTTCACTTTCAACGATAAGTTGTTCGAATGAATGTGCTGCAAGTGTATACAAGAGTTGTTTGCGTTAATAAATATTTTTATAACAAAATATGAAAACTTCAATCAAAATATTTCTTGCACCAGAACATAATGCAGGTTTCGATGCGCATGTTTTGCGCATATAGTGAGTTTCTTCTCTAGCTCAATGAGAATTACACTCGACATGCTTCCCTGTTAGTGAAGATTTCGCTTATATTGCGGGTATCGCGTTTACTCATTCTTTTCCCAATAGTCTCAAAGCTATAAATGGACTGCTTGGGCTGCTTGGATACTTGCCGGAAGTTTCTAAAGCACTGCAATATATTTTGGAGCCCTTGCTTTTTATCTGGATGGAATTTTGTGAAAATATAGTTTTATTAACTGGGATACAGGGTAAATTATTCAATAAGCAGTAATATGTAAAAACACAATGCGGAAGATGATGTATCTCTCTACTAGCGCCCAGAGAATAATCCTGGCGGACGAGATATTTCATCCATATTTACTTATATTTTAAGGGGACTCATACACCTTACAACTCATAGGACCTTCGAATATGTGATTGTTGCAAGAATTCGGATAACTTATTTATTTTAAAAGCAATTACTTCCAACTTTTTACAGGTAACTACGTAATATAGCTGCTTTCTGAAATAGTAATTAGAAAGTTTGTGTTCCACAAATATTTTTTATAATTTAATCCGCTTTGTGACAAAAGTTTTCCTCGTGTTTCCACCTTGCGCGCACATTTTAAAACATTCTGTCGAGTAATTTAATTTCATATTTAATATATAGCTTTTAGAACAATTGGAAACGACTGTGAAGCAAAAATTCTAAGAATTTGATCTTAAATTTTTATTTATTTGGAGTTGAGTTTATAAAATGTATTTTATTTAAAAAATCTGTAATGTTTTCCTGCATAAAATTTTTTAATATTAAAACATTCATCAGATTTTTGGTTCAGATAGGAAATGGTGCCATTTAAAGAATTTCATCAAATTTCAAGTATGTACCATTAGCCATTTTTAAAATATCATTCGCGCCAGATGGAAACATGACGAAAGTTTTGTCACAAAGCAGATTAAATTACAAAAATATTTTTGGCAAAACAAACTTTTTGGTTGCTAGTTCCCAAAGCAGCTACGTATATTATGTAGTCAGCTGTAAAATGTTGGAAGTAATTGCTTTTAAATTAAATAAAATATCCCAATTCTTGCCACAGTTACATATTCGAAGATCATAAGGGATTTAAGGTTTACGAGTTCCCTTAAGTAAAGATTAATACTTTGATTCTGATAGTTAATTTCTAAATTAAATCATGAAATTTCATCCATTAAATGATTAAAATATTAATACATGTACTAAATATTATCAGCAACAAAAGCCTGTGTCATCATTAATCACATTGTGGCACATTAAAATTTTGTATTCTTAAACATGGGCCATGAAAACCGTATAATATTAGAATACAGTAAAACTCCAATTATTCAAATCTATTGGGACAGGACACCATTCGGATAATCAAAAATTCGGATAATTGTATTTTTTACGAAGAAATGGTCTACCTACATTTTGATTAATTACTGTGTAGAGTTCCTCACTTTGGAATTCTAAGTTAATGTTGGAAGTGAAGAAT